TTTCAACCCATGATAATCCAGGTGTCCCCCGATTTGTCTGTCCTCGTTTCGTACTATTTGAGGATCTTCTTCTTGGGCTCTTTCCCAAACTGATGCCTCAATTACTGCATTTCTTAAGACAAATAAATTTGACATAATAAATTTGTAATATTTTTATAATTAATTGAACTTAATTATCTTATAAACAACACACACAAATAATATAAAATATAGGAAACCTAAGAACTATAAAATACACTATTCTCAAATCATTATCATATTTTATGTACTACGTAAAATTTGTTGGTCAAATTGCAAACATATAATGCTATACGTACTATATATATGCCTTGCTATTTCACAAATTTTATTTGAATTTCACATTTTAACTTATCCTCATTTGCAATTTATTTCATTCTCCAAATTTTATATATCTCACAAGAAAGAAACGTGAATAGAGCAAGAAACGTCAATATTGTGATCAAACCACTCTGCGAATAAATTAATGGGAATGTAAATAAAGAAATAGTCTATCATATACATCTTTAGTCCCCATATATAAGTGCCATCTTCTTCCCCATTATTAGCTCTGCAAAACACTTGTGTCCAACTCTCTCGCTCTCTTTAAAAATGAAGCTCTCTCCTCGTTTGATCTCATCCATTCCCCTATTGTTCATGCTCCTCATTGCCACAGGTTCATAATTCATATCATCATGATACATCTAAATAAATCAATTCTTTTTTTTTTTGGTCAAAAATATTTGTGAGTAATCTATGACCTTTTTGTGCTCAGATGCATTACCACACTAATTAAATGTTTTGGTTAACCAAAGATGGAGAATAACATTTTTTCAACACTAAATTCACAATAGCGATATATCTAGCATTATGTACGAAACAAATTACTTTCTACATTCAAAACTCGTATCTTGTTATATCCTTCATTTATTTGTAAGAAGATATATATGATATCAGATTTATGCTTGTGGATATGCTCATCATAGATATGATTCTTTTGTGTCTCTAGGGATGGGGCCGGTCACGGTGGAGGCACGCACATGTGAAACCAGTAGCACATTGTTCAATGGACCGTGTCTGAGCACAACCAATTGCGCCAATGTTTGCCATAACGAAGGTTTCCCAGATGGTGACTGCCGCGGATTCCGTCGTCGCTGTTTATGCACCAGACCATGTTGATCAATCATCTAATATATATAATCTATCATTTAATAAATGAATACTCTAAAGAAACTATCTTCTATCATTTTGAGTATTTTATATACCTTATATCGTTTTTGTCTTTCAAACATCAATCGGGGGATCTAAATGTTGAAAGCCCTTTAGTTTGTCCTTTCTATAATCTTTTCCAAGGTTAACTAATGATACATTTTCGTAACTTGTATGTTTAATGGGTTCCAATTTACAATTGAATTAATAATTAGTTGGTTGATTCAGCAACAAACCATATATTAATTACCCTACTTGAGTTTTACTATTCAGCAACAATCTGAGCTTTTCTTACAATGTGAAGTTATATAGATTTTAAAGGAACATAATGGGAATTCTTATTTTTATCTCATTTAAATTTCGGGAGGGCAAGTGTGGCTCTTTCAAGACCCCGATAAAAAGCCCAATCTTATAACGGATCTCACATGGGGTCTAATACTACTATCAAAAGAACTCATCTGCCTACCACCAACGGGTATCACCCTACTGCCTTGGATCCTCTGGACTGCAAGGAACAATAAAATTTTCAGCACAAAATGCTAGGGAATGGTCCGAGACTCTTGACCGACGGGGCTTGGAACTCAAGTACAAGAGAGGCGGGACTAGGCTGGCTCATATGCAATTCAGACTCATCGATCATTGATTGCCCAGGGATCTAGAGGAGCATCGCAAGTCTCAAGCCCCCTTATGGCCGAAGCGATGGCGATTCGGGAAGGATTAATGCAACCTGCGACCCACGGAATTCAGATTAAGGATGTAGCATCGGATTGCAAGTACTTTATCAATCTGATCAACTCAAGAGTCTCCCATCTAGACATCTATGGGATTCTCCAAGATATTTTCTCTCTGTCTCACGATCTAATAAAAGTTTGTTCTTTCAACTTCATACCAAAAGATCAGTATGTTAAGAGCATGTCCATCAATGTGTTCTCAGACATGTTCTGAACAATTTTCGGCCCAAAAGAAAAAGAAAAAGAAAAAAGATTTTTAAGCCTAGAACACGTTCTGGTTTTAGGGTTTTCAGAACACTTGAGAACGCCATACGTGGCACGTTATTATTAGTTTGAATTAAAAAAAAAAATTTGAGAACTCTATCTTTATGATTGAAAGTTTATGATTTGCAAATTTATGTTTTAATTATTTTATGTAATCTATCTTTAAAATTTTATTAATGTAATGTAATTTTGATTTTATAAAATCTTGTATGTTTTTCAAATTTTTATAAAAATAATTATAAAATAATATTTTTTTATTTTTGAGAACTCTTTTGGTGTTCTCACCAATGGAGGATACAAAAATTGAAAACTAATTAAGGTGTTCTAAAC